ACCAGTTTCCACTGAACACAGAACGTTGCTAATTGCCCCTTTATCTGGCCTTTATTTCCCTGATGAGTGCAGGCTTTTCTAAGACCCTATTCATGGCTGTAATGGACTCTCCTTTCCGTGGGCACAAGGATGCTTTGCTCACCCCAAGGCGGGATTAAAAGAGCAAGTCTGGCTTCAGTTTTGGTTTTGCAGAGCCAAAGAGGTGGGCAGGGAAGCGTTCCCATGAATTACAACGGTATGTTTTAATTGTGGTGCAGTGACCAGTGGTTTTTGGTGCCAGGCCAGCTCCCTGCTGGGTTGGTGGGAACTAGAGCACCAAGCTCCTTGCTCAGGCACAGCCTAACACTAGCAACAGTAATGGAATGGTTTTTAAGATGTGCAGGTGCCCAAAAAAATCAGCTCCCAGCCTGATCTCAGAAGGCGCTGAGATGCTAGAGAGCACTCCCTGCTCCAAGGGGGATTTTTTTAGCTCCTCCCAAACCACAGCGCTGGATATCTCCGGTGAGCCCAGGAAATGTGCACTAAGCCCCAAGCTGCTCGGGGAGGAGAGGGCAGCAGAGTCCAACCTGACAAGTTGTAACCTGCCCAGTTCCTTCTCAGCCACTTCCTGGCTCCTGACGGAACCAGGGCCTCCCATGCTGGCACACACTGGTTGCACACCTAGCGAAGTTATTTCAACATCCTTCACCCTGTGCCTGGAGAAAACCGATACTCCAGGAAACTGCGGCTTGGAAAAAGCCCCAGATGAGGCTGTTCCTTCCCCGGCCCTGAGGGTTATCTCCCGGCCACAGCCAGCAGACACACAGTGCTGCTGACCCCCCCCTCCCAGCCACCCCCACTGCCACTCCCCCTCCCGGGGCTCCTTGGACAGCCAGAGAAGGTTGGGAAGTTCCTACCGATAGGAAAAGCTGTCCGACCAATGCAGGCAGGGGGTGCTGCCCCCCTCCTCCTGCTCAGGCACCCCGGGGAAGGTGCCTTCACACAAAGGGCTGATCTCTCTGACCGTACCTCAGCTCAAGGCATCGAGACAGTCATCTAGACAGTCACCAAACCCTCCCGTTCCTCCCAGCCTGCCCCTCAGCCGAGGGTCAGCCCAGGCCTGCCAGATCGCTTGCCCTAGGACACATCCCCTCCTCTTGGGGGTACAGAGGAGCAGGCTGGAGCATCTCCCAGCGGGAGGGCACCTGCCTTTCCCAGAGGGCTACATCCCCTCGGCATAAGCGGCTCAGCCCAGGTTTTTTTGTCACAGTCCGCTGGCACAGCCAGAAAGCAAAGAAAAACACGGGAAAACATGAGGGTGAGCCGTACGGGGCAGAGCACACTCCTGGTGCCAGGTATTGCCCTCGGCGAGCCGCGTGTGCCAGGCACAGGTACAGCTCCGTGTCAGCCCCCCCAGCCCGCGATGGGCCCCGTCCCAGCCCCATGAGAGTCCCCGGGACACTCTCCAGTGCCAGCCCGGGTGGGAGGAGCCCCGCGTGGGTGCCCAGGAGCCCCACAAAGTGGCAGTGCCCCCACCGCCCCCGTGCCGGCTGACGAGCCCTGCCGCGGAATGAGGAGCAGCCGCCCGTGGGCGGCGGTGAGTCACGGCGGGAGGGCAGCGCGGGTCCCCGAGCACGGCCCCCCCGGGGGGCTCTGCCTGCACCGACCAGCGAGCTGGGACCCTGGACCCCTGGGACCCGGACAGCCTCTGGCACAAGCGCCGCTGCTCTGTGCTGGCGCCCCATGCGCTGGCCCGACTCGGGGCTGCTCCCGCGGGCACTCGGTACCCGGGAACTCCCCCCTCGCAGCGCCTTCCGAAGCGGAGCCGGAGCTGCAGCCGGGGCACCCGCGGCTGAGCTGAGATGAGCCGTGCCGAGCACAGCCCGGCGCCTGCGAGCCCTCCGGCTACAACCGCCCCCAGCTCAGCCCGCCCCAGAATTCCATCCTCATCCCGGCACCCCATCCCGCCCCGGGACCCTTCGTCCCGTCCCTACCTCTCGGCAGGTCGCTGAAGTCGTCCCCCGAGGCCGCTCCGCCGCCCTCCTTCTCCGGGCTGCTGCCGAGCAGCGGGGCCGTGGCCGGGACCGGCACTCCCCCTCCTCCTCCTCCTCCTCCGCCGCCGCCCTTGTGCAGCACCTCGTTGTGCAGCTCGTCCCGGCGCAGCCCGCCCGCCGCCGCCGAGCACACTGCGGGGACAGCGGTCAGAGGGGAGGGCTCACTCACACTGCCCTGCCTGGGACACCCCCTCCTCCCCACGCGCGACCTGGACCGATATTCCCGCCTGCTCACAGCCAGGGACCCTCCGCCCGGGACCGCAGCCTCGCCCGGGACCGCGTTGCCCAGGACCATTCCCCGACACGTGTCCGGGACCCTCCGGCACTGGGATCCGTTGCCCAGGACCGTGCCCACGCGTGCCCGTACCTGCCGCCAGCAGCGCGTGGATCAGCACCGCCCGCCCGTCCATGACCCGCGGGCACACTCGTCCAGCCCCTGTCCCGCTCCGCTCGGCCCCGCTCCGGTGCCCGCTCTCCAGCAGCGCGGCCCCGAGCAGGGTAGAAGGCGGTTGCCGGTGGGGCGGGGCAGGGAGGGGCTGCCCGGCCGCTCCGCCCCCGGGAAGGGCTTCCCCGCCGCCCCCGAGGGGAGGGTCCCGCTGGCCACGGACGGGAACAGGGCCAGGGCTCGGTGGGGTCTCCTCGCTCCCGGAGAGCCCAGGTCCTGCCCCGATGCTGGGGGGCAGTGGGAGCCTGGGGGGCGCAGGGTCCCTGCAGGGCTCAGAGGGCAGCCGAGGGACATGGCCTTTCCAGACATTTTCTGTGACTAGAAAGGGTGGCCTCAGGCAGGGGCAGAGCAGAGGGGTCCCGGTGTGCCCCGTGGCCCCAAGCCCCGGCTGACGGGACGGGTGCCTGGGATGGGCCGGGGATGCCGGGGGAGCGAGTGCACCTGGCAGGAGGAACATCAGGTGAGAGGTAGGACCTCAGGGGTAAGGGCTGCACCTCCTCCTGGCCCTGATAGGGGACAGAGTGCCATCCATGCCCCATCCTGCACACGGAAGGTGGTGGCAGCCAGAGGTGCCAACAGAGACCCTTTCAGTCCCCAAGGCCACCTTTGTGCCCCTATAGAGCCCCTGTGACTGATGGAGTCACAGCCTCATCCCACAATCCCCTCCTAGCCTGCCACTGTCCTTATCCCCATCCCAGCCCTCTGTGCATTGGCAGTGCCAGCACTTCCCTGTCCCCTTCACTGCTGGCAACCATGTGTTGTGTTTGGCCCAATCCTCAGCCCAGGTGACAGCCCAAAGAACATCAATGACACCAGTGCTGGGCAAATGCAGGGTCCTGCCCCGGCTCCTGTTGAGGCCAGCCATGGCCCCTGGCTGGTTCCTCGAGGTCCCAAGCCCCCAGCCCACAGCTGGTTTGGGCTCGGCAAGGCATGAGCAAAATATTCCTGCCATTGTTGTTGGCGTCTCCAAGGAATACCACCGGATCTGGCACCCCCCCGCTCACGCCCTCCTCTTCTTGCTCAGACTTGACTTTTGCAATTGTTTGCTGGATGTTTTTCCTTCCGCCTCCTCCGGCCATCAGCAGCCCAAAGCCTTTGGCAGCAGAGCGAGGGGGTGGCCTGGGTGAGGGGCTGTGTCCCTGGGCAGCCCTGCACCCTGGATCCTGGTCCCTGCATGGAGATGGGATTTTTGCCCGTGCCAGTCCCCCGTCACATCCCCAGGGCCAGGCCAGGCGTGCATGGGTGGCGTGTGCAGGCAGCATTTGCCAGCTGACCTGGCACCTCCGGAGAGGGAGGCACCGGCTCACGTCAGCAGCCAGAGAGGCTGTTGGCACAGAGGGCTGGCAGCGGGCAAGGGTGGGGGGTGCGTGCAGGCTGCCAATCCTGCCTGCCTTCTGCTGCCTTCTGCCTCTGCCCCCTGCCTCTGCCTCCTGCAGCCTTCCACAGCCTCCAGTCCCCTGCCCACCTCCTGTAGCCCCTCACAGCCTCCCTGCCTGCACCTGCTGCCAGTCATGCCCCTTCTCATGCCAGGGGGCCACGCTGGGGCAGCCCCCACAGGACGGGGGGGCTAACACCTGGGAAGGTTTGGGTGCCTCATGGTATCCCTAATTGATCAACCATGTGTCCTGCTGCCAGAGGTCTCCCTGTGCCCCCCACCCCGGCCAAGGGCACCACTCCACACACCATGGCACCTGCTGGTATCACGGAGCAAACAGCCTGGTGGGCACCCAGGGCCTGATCCTTGGCCTCAGCTCCTGTAAGGCAGGTACCAGAATCCCAAGGACCCACATTCCCACCCTCTGCACTCTCCCAAAATGTGACACTGCTGGGGTGGTACCTGGCCCTTCTCCAGCTGCTCCTGGGCCAGATCCTGCCAGGGCCAGCAGGCTCCAGCACAGCCTGCCCATGCCAGTGCTGCGGGTGTTTGTGGTCCTGTTTGTGGTCCTGCCACTGTGTTTGCACTACACACAGCCCCTTGGTTTGTTTGCAGAGGGCCGAGGGGGCTGTCACGGTGATGGTGGCCCTGCCATCTCCCCATCCCTGGCAGGGTGCTGCAGCTGTGACCACATCTTTTCCCTTCCATCTGCTCCCCTGCCACAGCCCACACAGATGCCCTCGGCACAGGCAGCAGCCCTGACACCCTCCTGGCCCTTGTCATCACACCCTCATTCCCCTGCTCTGGATTTGATCAGCGGTGCCAGATCCCTCCCCAGCACATGTCCCCACATCCACTTTCCTACAGAAGAGCTGCCATGGCCCCAGCACCCTGGCACGGCCACTGATGCTGCCACCAGCTCTTCAGGGCTGGCCCTGCCATCACTTCACCAGTGCTTTGCAGGGTGCAGGCAGGACTGGGGACACGCTACTCCCCAAGAACAGCCTTGTCCCCGGGGGTCACCTGGAGCAGGCAGCCCAGGTGGGCAGCTGAATGCGTCATGACCCAGCCACAGTGGGTCCCATGGGGCTGACCCTGCTGTTTTGAGATGATTGTTTTGGGCTTGGCTCCTCTGTATTGGTTTGTGGCCAGTTTTAACCAGTTCACAGCTTTTATAAGGTGTGGGATGAATGGGATCCTGTGAGTGCCAGAGGGAACCCAAGCCTGTGGCTGCCGGTGCCGGTGGCTGTGCGAGTCCACATGCCCGGGGCGGGTGGCATGGCTCTCCAGGAGGCAGGGACCTGCTCACAACCCAGACCAGACTGGAGCAACCCCGGAGCTCCCTCACAGGCTTTGGGCTGCAGCATCTTCCCTTCCAGGATGGCCCCAGCGGCCAGACGAGCTGATGCTGCCCCGCGGCAGGATGGGGGGGATGTCTCCTGCCCCCTGCTCTTCATCCAGCTCAACCAGCTCCTCAGCACCCCGGAGGGGATGGAGTGGAGGGAGATGGCCAGGTAGGCAAACCTGCGAGGGCCACACTTTGGGAGCCCAGCCTTGCAGCTCAGCTGGAGCCCAGGGCACCCCCAAGAACCGGTGGTTCCTCAGCCTCGTCCCCAAAGCAGGGCTCCGGTGCCCGCGCTGCGCTGACTCATTTCATGGGAAAGGGCAGGGTGTCAGTCAGGGCGGGCAGTGACCCTGCGCGGGCACAGCGCCCTTCCTCCTGCTCCTCTCTACTGCCTCTCCAGGGCTCCAGCAGCTGCGCCGGGGCTCGGATGTCCCGTACCCCACAGCACCCCTCCTCTGCTCGGCAGGGGCACAGGAGTCTGGGAGCAGCAATGCTTCTTCCCCCGGGGATCGGAGAGTCTGCGGGGAGTGCCAAATCCGCCGGGCCGTGGCTCTGCCCAGCCCCCAGCCCCCTTCTCCCCGCACGGCTGCCCTGCCGGGCACGCTCTCCCCGTGCAGCACGGCGAGCGCCCCGCGGCAGCGCGCCCACCCCGCGGGACAAAGGGAAGCTCTGTCTGTGCCCGGCGTTAAAATATTTGGCATGGCCTGAGCGTGGAAACAGCTCAAGACACTTCTGTTCTGACTCCAGCCAGCACTGCTAATGGCAGGGCCACCCCCAGTCCCGGCGCAGCCAGGGGGTGGGTGGGCTGGGAGCAGCCCTGGGGGGTGCTGGTGGGTGACAGATGGGACATCAGCCAGCACTGTGTGCTCACAGCCCGGAGAGCAGAGGGTATCCCGGGCTGCACCACAGCAGTGTGGGCAGTGGGGTGAGGAGGGGGTGCTGCCCCTCTGCTCTGCTACAGCGAGACCCCCCTGGGACATCACATCCACCTCCTGTTCAAGTACATCCAGAGGAGGTCATGGAAATGATCCAAAGGCTGGGACAGCTCTGCTGGCACAGCTCTGCTATGGAGACAGGCTGAGAAACCTGGGGTTGTTCAGCCTGGAGAAAAGAGTCCAGGGAGACCTCAGAACCCCTTCCAGTGCCTAAAGAGTCTCCAAGAGGGCTGGAAAGGAACTTTTACAAGGGCTGGAGTGACAGGATGAGGAGGAATGACTTCTCACTGCCAGAGGACAGGGTTAGATGGGATAGTGGGAAGAAATCCTTCCCTCTGAGGGTGGTGAGGCCCTGGCACAGGTTGCCCAGAGAAGCTGTGGCTGCCCCATCCCTGGAAGTGTCCAAGGCCAGGTTGGATGGGGCTTGGAACAACCTGGGCTGGTGTCTCTGCCCATAGTAGAGGAGATGGAACAAGATGAGCTTCAAGGTCCCTTCAAACCCAAACCATTCTGTCATCCCGTGACTGTTGAAATCCCCCTGATCAGATCGGAGTGAGGTGTGGGTCTGCAGGAATGGGGATGTGACCACCTTGGCTGCCCACCTGCCCCTGCTGCATGAACCCTCTGCAGACCCCTCTGGGCCCCCCAAACCCCCATGCTAAGCTCAGAGATGGACACAGGGTCCAGCTCCCACTGCCTGGCAGAGGACACAGGACTACCTTGCTGCTGACCCTGCACATCTCCCCGGGCAGGTGGATAAAGTTCGAGGAGAAGGTGGAGGATGGCGGGGAGCGCTGGAGCGCGCCCCACATCCCAGCCCTCCCCCTGCACAGCCTCTTCCAGCTGAGGACATGCCTGGAAAAGGGGACGGTGCTCCTGGACCTGGATGCCGCCAGTTTCAAGGAAATAATCGGTACGTGGGTAATGCAGAGGTCATCTCTTGGGATGGGCTGGTCCCCAGAGAGGGACAGGCCACCAGGAGGTGCCTGTAGAACAGCACTGGTGAATGACAGACGGGCACCTGGCATGGCTGCTGCTCCAGCTACGGGGGCTTTTCCCTGGGCAGTGAAGCAGGGGGACTCAGGGCTGTCCCTGTCCCTGCTGCAGATAAGGTGCTGCCTGGGCATCCCGAGGAAGCAGAGCTGCAGCCCGCACTGAGGGAACGCCTGGCAGCCCTCCTGCTCCTCCAGCCACGGCACCAGCCCACGAAATCCCTGCTGCAGCTCCTCGCCGAGCTCGCCCTCTCTCCTTGCCGAGGTATCCCACCAGGAATCCTTCCAGTGCCACCAGCCCGGGGCAGTGCCCACACTGCCTGTTCACTTGCACACGTGGGGCTGCAGGAATGGCTTCCTCCCTTTCTTTGCAGAGAAGGCCAAAGGCAGCTCTGAGCCCGGAGCCCAGGTCTCCAAAACGCCTCTTAAGGAGCAAGTAAGGCAGGATGGAGCTGGGCTGGGAGCAGCTGCTGCATCCCAGGTGCCCAGCCGCTGCATCCCGAGCGCTGCATCCCTTTCCTTTCAGCTGAGAAACCGCTTTAGGAAGAAGATCCCACCGGGAGCTGAAGCTGCCCACGTTGCTGTCGGTGAAGTGGAATTCCTGGAGAAGCCCTTCACCGCCTTCATTCGCCTCAGGCACGGGGTGTCCCTCGGCTCGCTGGCTGAAGTTGCTCTCCCCAGCAGGTAACAGAGCACGGCCCGTGCCCCTGTTCCCCCTTTGTCCCTGCCTCCCCATTCCCTCCCACGCCACACAGGGCTTTGCTCGGCCAAAGCAAAGGGAATTGCAGCCCTTGCCACAAACAGTCCCAGAATCCCGGCTCGCTGCTTCCCCTCCGGCTTTTCCCAGCTCCTTAGGAGCGTTTCGGGATGGGCTGAGAGTGCAGTATCTGTTGGGCAGCCTGGGAGGGACATCCCCTGGGTCATCCCCATCTGGGGTCTGCATTCCCTGTCCTTAGGAGGCTCTGGATGCTCTCGACTCACTGCTGGGAGCAGGGGGCGGGCGGCGGGACTCAGGTTTGCAGGAGTCTCTTGCCCTCCCGCTGCCCACGACACTCTCCTGAGCAGCGGGACGGGGTGGGGGGAAAGAAGCCGGGAAAGAGGTGTTCCCCCACGGCTGAGGAACGCAGCTGTGAGGGTAAATGGTCCCGTGTGTCCCTTGAGCTGGGCGCTTCCTCAGGGAGCGTGCGGAGGAGGCAGGCGGGGATCAGGAGGGACATTGCCACCTCCTGGTCACTCTGCCCAGAGCACCCGTCCTGCAGGAGCTGCGAGGAGCAGGACACCCACCCACCTGCCGCTCTGTCCTCGGTGGCAGATGGGTGGCAGGTCCCCGTGGGTCTCGCGGGTCTCATGACAGCCCCTTGCCCTGAATTTCCCCCCTTCAAACAGGAGGGGAGGGACAGCTTGTCCCTACCCATCCCTTTGCCCATGGTACCATCCCCTGGCCATGCCAGGCTGTTCCAAAGGCACAGCCACCACCTCGGGGCTGTCTCCCAGTCATGTCCATCTCCAGGGTTTCAAGGTTTTCACATCGCCGTGGTGCAGGTGCCCGGGTGACAGCAATCCCGGGTGGCTTCTGTCACCTCCCACCCCTTGGAGCAGGCTCCAGGGGACCTCCAGCCCCACATCAGGGCTGCAGCAGGTTCTGCTGAGCCCCACTCAGCCCCACTCATGCTGCTGGAGGAGTTTCCCTGCGCCCTCTCTGGAGGTTTGCTCAGGGTAGTGTCCTGGAACCGCTCAGCAGTCTCAGGGTTCCCAGACTGTAACAGTTTCTGCCAGTTTTGGAAAGGAGGGGAGGGCTTGGTTAAACATTTGGCTGGACTGTCCCTCTGTGGACCTCATTATTTTGCACCATCCTCTGAGGTGTGGGATTTTCACCATATTTTATCAAGGACTCTGAGCTCTCTTCCCAGTCTCCTCCCATGTCTCCAGAGTCCATCAAACCTGCTGTCCATGCTGCCAGCAAGCTCTCCTTCCCTGACACTCCTGCATCCTGCCTGTGAGCAACATTCCCTAGAATGTGATCCCACAAACACCTCCAGCCGAGACCTTGATCCCACAGACACCCCCAGCCAAGGATGCATCCTCCTCCTCTGCCCCAAAGACCTCTCCCCCCACACCCTCCAGCCTGGGTTTCTGCAGATCCAGTGGGGTCCTGGTGTCCCATGTTGTGGGCTCTCTAAGGGCAGCCCTCTTAGGGTGGCAGGAGCCCCCCGAGCCTGGCCATCTGCTGTCCCCAGCATCCCCATGGTCTCCCCTGGGAGAAGCATCCCCCAGGGAGCAGAGGGTTGTTCCAGAGCTGTGCTGTCCCACCCACAGGTTCCTCTTCATCCTGCTGGGTCCCCCCAAAGTGAAAGCCTACCAGGAGGTTGGCAGGGCCATGGCCACGCTGCTGATGGATGAGGTGAGCCTGGAGCAGCACTCATGACTGGGATGGGCCTGGGATGGCGACACTGGGGCTCCTCTCCTCTCCAGGCAGCAGTGGAGGGCAGAGGATGGGCTGAAGTGGTGGTTTCCCTCTCCCGGGATAAGAACACTAAGGTTTGGGGTGGGTCTGTGGGATGTAGGGGCACTGGTTGCACTGAAGTGGGAGGGTTTGTTCCTTGGGGAAGGCTGCAGGCTGGGAGGAAGGCTCTGACGGGCTGAACACTGGGACATGGTGGCTAAACCACAGCACCTCCCCACAGCTCTTCCAAAGGGTTGCCTGGCAGGCTGAGCACCGAGAGGACCTCATCACAGGGATGGAGACGTTCCTGGATGAGCTGATTGTGCTTCCTCCTGGGAAATGGGACCCCAGTGCCCGAATTCCTCCGCCGAGCTCTCTGCCATCTCTGTGCAGGAGGTGGGCTGAGGGGGCACCCCAACCTCTGCCAACCCCTCTGCAGGGTCCTGGGGGGCACATGCCTGCCTGTGACACTGAAACTTCCATCTCCATGGGGATGAAGCTGCCCTGGAGCAGGGAGGTCCTCCCAGCCAAGCCCCTCTGCAGTTCCAGCCAAGGACAACAACTCTGGTCCCCGATGCTGTTAGTGCTGCTGTCACACTTGGAAAGGGATGGCAAAGCCACCCCACATGCCCTTCAAAAGGAGCTGCTGGGAATGCTGGGATTCAGCACTCGGATGTGAAGCTCATCCTCTGAGCAGGACACCCCGGGCTCTGCCCAGCTGCTCCAACAAAACTAGACCTGTGAGCTCTGGCTCCAGGGCTTGCTGGAGGAGATCATGGCTGGGTTGGAAGGGACCTCCAAAGATCACCCAGTCCAATCTCCAGTCTCTCCTCCTCCTCCTGATCTTTCTCCTCCCCATTTTCAGGGGACACATGAGGTCTCCCAACCCTGCTTGCATCCCTGTCCCCTCTCCATCCTCCCTTTGCCCTCACAGTGTCCCCTGGGTGCAGCTGGCCCCTGAGGGTCCCAACCTGAAGCCCGTCTCAGGCTCTGCTCTGCCACAGGACCGCTGTGGACCCACCAGAGCAGCAGCCCCATGGCAACGGGGCCATGGCAGCAGCTGGGGACAGAGCCAGCCCAGGGCACCCCCGCTCCGGGGAGGAGCTGGAGAGGACGGGCAGGTGGGTACCTGCAGGAATGAGGTGGTGGGTGACGGATTTGGGGCAGGGCAGTGGCTGCCATGGGGCCACCAAACCCCTCTCAGCTGGTGTTTCCCAGGGAAGGGACCATCCCTTGCCGTGTGGCTGTGTGTGGGGTGATGCCCAGCTGTGGAGGCTGCTCTGACACCTCCCTCCTCCCCTCTGCCCCAGGCTTTTCGGGGGGCTGCTGCGAGACATCCGGAGGAAGGCACCGTGGTACGGCAGCGACTTCTCTGACGCCCTGCACCCCCAGTGCCTCTCGGCAGTGCTCTACATCTACCTGGCCACGGTCACCAACGCCATCACCTTCGGGGGCATGCTGGGGGATGCCACTGCCAACATGCAGGTCAGTGTGGCCGTGGGGTGCCCGGCACCAGCCCCGCTCAGCCCAGCCCACGGGGCTCCTTGGTGCCCACCTCCCACCAGTGCTCCCGGGGCATCCTGAGCATCACCCAAATCCTCCTCCTTCCCCCAGCACTGACCCTGCACTGTGCTGCTGGGAGGGACAGGGCCAGAACCCCCCTCCGTGCCTTGTGCCTGGCACCCCTTCCCTGCGTTTCAGGGGGTGCTGGAGAGCTTCCTGGGCACGGCCTTTGCTGGCTTCATCTTCTGCCTCTTTTCGGGCCAGCCCCTGACCATCCTGAGCAGCACGGGCCCCGTGTTGGTCTTTGAGCGCCTCCTCTTCTCCTTCAGCCAGTGAGTTCCCTGGCAGGGATGGGTCCTCAGGCCACCGTCCTCTGGCCGGGGCATGGGCCACCATCGCTGCAGGCGAGTGTTAGCTGTGAGGTTTTGGGTCACCCTTCCCCCCAGGGACTACAGCCTGGACTACCTGGAGTTCCGCCTCTGGATTGGGCTCTGGGTGGCCTTTTTTGGCGTGGTGCTGGTGGCCACTGAGGCCAGTCACCTGGTGAGGCACTTCACCCGCTTCACCGAGGAAGGTTTCTGCGCTCTCATCAGCCTGATATTCATCTACGACTCGCTGAAGAAGATGCTGAGCCTGGCAGATGCCTTCCCCGTCAACTGGCAGTACCGGCTGGACAACGTCACCTCCTACAGCTGCACCTGCAACTTGTCCAGCCCCGGTGAGCCCAAGAGCTGCAGGTGGGTGGGGAGCAGGAGGCTGCTGCCCCAGGACCCCACTGCAAACCTGCTGCCTGGCCAGACGGTGGAGGAGGCTGTTTAATCCCACTCTCACCTGCACGACCACATCACACCTTTCTCCGCTTCCCTCCATGCAGTCTGTCCATCTGTCCCTGCCTCCTGGAACTGCCCTGGCACCAGACAGGGCAGTGCCAGGAGCGAGGAGAGCCCTGGCCTGGTTCATGTCGCTCCAGGATGGGGGGTGGCAGGGGCTGGAGGGGTTTGCTTTGCCATTTCTAGCCCAGTCTGTAAACCAGAGAACGTTTCCTGGGGCTTGAAGGTGTGTCCACACTGACCCTGGAAACAGCACCCACACCAAAAGGATCAGTGCTAAGCCAGCCTGGGGACAATGGTGCATCCCCCCTTGGTGCTCCCTTGGCACCAGCCAGGCCCAGGACCTCAGGGTCCATGGGGTCCCATCCAGTATCCCAAGCCCTTGGGGAGAGCCTGAGGACATGCACTAATGGCAGCACTGTCCCAGTCATCCCTGATGGAGCCAGCAACAGCCTGACCCTCCATGCCCTTGCAGGTCACAGTTCTGCAGGGAATGACACGCTGCTGCCCTCGGCCCTGCTCCCCCCACAGGTACAGTCTCTGCTCCCAGACAGGTGGGCGAGGGGCTGGGGGGACCCAAACTGTCCACACATGACCCCTCCTCACCTCCTGTCCTGTCCCTGCAGCCTCCCACCACCCCAGAGGGGATGAGCAGGACCCAGTGCCTGGACCGAGGCGGGCACCTCCTGGGCAGCAGCTGTGAGTACGTGCCCGATGTCACCCTCCTCTCCTTCCTGCTCTTTGGGGGCACCTTCCTCTCCTGCGCCGCCCTCAAGCGCTTCAGGAGCAGCCGCTACTTCCCTGCGGGGGTGAGCATCCTTCTGCCACCCCTGTGGAATGGCCACCCACCCCATCGGTGTGGGGATGGCTCCAGGGGAAGCTGCTGGAGCAACCCCCATCCCAGGCACCCCAGGAACCCTTTCCATCCCCACATGCAGGTGCGGAAGGTGGTGAGCGACTTCGCCGTCATCCTGGCCATCCTCACCGCCTGCGCTGTCGATGCCGCCCTGGGCCTGGAGACCCCCAAGCTCCTTGTCCCCAGCGAGCTGAAGGTGCTGGCAGGGTGGGCATGGCACTGCCAGGGCGTGGGGCTGTGCCCCCCACAGTGTCACTGTCCTTCCCACTGCCAGCTGCAGCCCTGCGGGGGTGTGGGCTGTATGAGCAAATGGGAAGGGGCTGAACACATCCCATGCCCTGTAAATAACCTGGCTCAGGTCTGGACTGACCACATCCCTGTGCAGCTCACACTGCAGCAAGAGCCACAGGCTCACCTCTGGGCTTGGGCTCCTCGCCCTGGCTGTGTGGGGGGGCTGGCAGTGGCTCAGATCCTGGCTTGTGGTGTCCAAGATCAACCCCCTGCTCTGCCACAGCCAGGATGTCCTTGTAGAGGACATGGTAGGTCACGCTGCCCAGAGGCATCCCCAGGATAAAGGAGGATGCTCTTCCTCTCCACATCCCTGGGTGCCTGTTGGGCTCCAGCCTGGTCACCTGGGGCTGGTCCTTCACCCCTCTGTGCCACACACAGGTGGGTGGCAGCTGCCATGACCCTTCTGCTCTCCACAGCCCACAAACCCCGCACGGGGCTGGATCATCATCCCCTTCGGAGCCAACCCATGGTGGGTGTGCCTGGTGTCTGTGGTGCCCGCCGTCCTCGTCACCATCCTCATCTTCATGGACCAGCAGATCACAGCCGTCATCCTGAACCGCAGGGAGTACAAGCTGCAGGTGAGCAGGGGACAGGGGAAGGACCCAGATTCCCAGCTGGGCCCCGCGGAAGCATCCGGGGCAGAGTGGGACCCCAAACCAGCCAGTGGGGTGGGCAGATACCGCCCCTCTGATGCTGCCAGGGAGACAGCTCACCCCCAGCCCTGCTGCCTCTCCCCCTGCAGAAAGGAGCAGGCTTCCATCTGGACCTCCTCTGTGTCTCCCTCCTGATGGTTGTCACCTCTGTCACCGGCCTCCCCTGGTACGTCTCGGCCACCGTCATCTCCCTGGCACACATGGAGAGCCTGAGGAAGGAGAGTGAAACCTCGGCCCCTGGCGAGCACCCCGAGTTCCTGGGCATCAGGTACACAAGCCTGGCCCTGCTCGGGGGGACCCCTTGCCCATGGCTGCAGAGCCAGGGGACAGGGACATGCCCACCCTGGCCATCAGAGGTGGCTTTGGGGACACCGGGGTCTCCCCAGGGATGCTCCCATTCCCTGTGCCCATCCAAGCTGAAAAGAGCAGAGAGCCCAGAGCCAGGAGGGCAGGCAAGGGGGTGGGCTCCCAGGGGACCCCTGTGACACCTGCACTGCCACATGCAGGGAGCAGAGGCTGACAGGCCTGGCCGTCTTCATCCTGATGGGAGTCTCTGTCTTCCTGGCCCCCGTGCTCAAGGTAGGGAGCCTGGGTGATGGGGGGCCTCTTTTCCTAGGCTGGGGATGTCCTTGTCCTGCAGGGCTGGGGCATTCCTGCTGTCCCTTGTTCCATGGATCCAGGGGAGGCTGGCTGGCAGGCAGGGAGCTGTGCACTGCGTGGGTAGGGGCTGGGCAAAGGATTTGGCTCCAGTGCAGCAGGAGGGGCAGCACAAAAGGCACTGTGGTCATGTGTCAGCTGGCCACTGTCCCCGTGTGCAACAGGGTCCCCTGTGCTCCCCACACACACCCCACCACCATGAGACCCTCCACACTGTTACACGGAGGTCCCAGCCTGGCTGCTGGTGGTTTTCACCTGCTGCTGCAGTAGGAAAAGCCCCTCCAGTGGCCCTGGATCATCTGGGGACAGGTGGGAGGGGCCTTTTCCTCGACCTCTCTCCTCACCCCTGAGGCTGCCCCTGTACAGCCTTTGCTATGGGCACCCCAACAGCCTCATCTCCAAACTGGACATATGTGGAGGATGGACTGTTAGATGGACGAGCAATTGGCTGGATGGCCGTGTCCAGAGACTTACAGTCAGTGTCCCTACATCCAAATGGAAACCAGCAATAAGTGGTGTCTCCCAAGGGTCCCTACTGAGACCAACACTATTTAATATCCTCATCCAGGATGTAGACAGCAGGATGGAGCTTGTTTGCAGGTGACACCAAGCTGAGAGGTGCAGTGACACCCCTGAGGGACAGGATGGCATCCAAAGAGACTGTGGAGGACACGGGCCTCATGTGGTCCAACAGGGGCAGGCTGGGCTGCTGGGAACGAAGGAGGCAAAGGCTGTGGGGGCTTTTACACAGGGGAGGGCACTTGGCAGGCACAGCCCCCCAGGGCACGGCCCCACTGCCCCCCATCCCGCTGTCTTGCAGCACATCCCGATGCCGGTGCTGTACGGGGTGTTCCTGCACATGGGGGTGGCGGCGCTGAACAGCATCCAGGTGAGGAGGGGCTGCTCTGGGACTGCTCTTTTGGGGATCAGGGGGTTTGCTCAGAACCAGCCTGGATTTTAGCTCTGCAAGATGTGCAGCCTGGCACGGACAAGGAGGGGGAAAAGCACCTTTCTGGGGCAGAGGAAAGGGGGCTGCTGAGAAGCTGGATTAACTTGTGCACTGATGGGCCAGGTGGTTTGGGAGAAGTGGAAGGACCAGTGGATAATCCAGACTTGCTCTCAAAGCCACAGGGGCTTCCCCACCTGGGAGCTGGGGACCTGCTGGTCCTTTATTGCTGCTGCTAAGCCAGCTCTGTTCTTCTCCTGAGAAACCTATGGTGAGGGAAAAAAAAAAAATCCCCACCCCAGAATTATCTACACCACTTTTCTCTCTAAACAGTACATTTTCTTTGCAATTATCCTGCTTTGTAGGACAGGCTGGGAAACTCCCTCGCTCCCTCCCTCTGCCTGGGAAACCCAGAGCTGTTCTCTGGAGGCTGCAGCAGTTTCCTGCAAGCAGAGAGTTCGATCAAGGGCTGTTATCTCACAATTAACCCATTAAGGCCACCTTGAGCCCTTTTGTAGAGGTCTGCCTGGAAAGTGCTCCCCCTGGCCCGGGGGTGGTGGTGACAGCGGGACCACCGGTGTTGCAGACCAACGCCCTGTCCCGGCACCGGCACAGATGGCAGGAGGGCTGAAGTGCACAAACAAGGGCAAAACCCCATCCTGCCAGCCCCGGGGCCCAGCAGGGAGGTGGAGGTGTGTGACCCACCCGCCACCCTCTCGCTGCAGCTCCTGGAGCGTGTGCGGCTGCTACTGATCCCGGCCAAGCACCAGCCAGACCTCCCGTTCCTCCGCCACGTCCCCCTGCGCCGGGTGCACCTCTTCACCGTCATCCAGCTGCTCTGCCTGGCCCTGCTCTGGGTCCTCAAGTCCACAACGGCCGCGATTATTTTCCCGGTGATGGTACGACACCCCTGGAACCGGCAGCGCTGCCCTGGTGTTGGGCTGGGTGCTGCCCATCCCAGTGGGATGTTCCTTTGGGAAGGGGACACGGGTGCTGCACATCCTAGTGGAGTCCCCCTGGGATGTTCCTTTGGGAAGAGACAGCGGTGCTGCCCATCACAGTGGGGTCCCCGGGATGCTCTTGTGGGAGGGGATACGGGTGCTGCCCACCCCAGTGGGGTGTTCCTTTGGGAAGGGGACACGGGTGCTGCCCACCCCAGTGGGGTGTTCCTTTGGGAAGGGGACACGGGTGCTGCCCACCCCAGTGGGGTGTTCCTTTGGGAAGGGGACACGGGTGCTGCCCACCCCAGTGGGGTGTTCCTTTGGGAAGGGGACACGGGTGCTGCCCATCCCAGTGGGGTCCCCGGGATGCTTCTCTGGGTGCTGCCCTGGGCGGGGGCACCCGGCGGGGTGACAGCGTGGCTTTGCCACCATCCTTCCCCTCTCGGGGCAGAGCCGCGGGGGTGTCACTGCGGTCCCCTGGAGGGGTGACAGCGGGGTGTGACAGGGCCACGCTGCCCTGTCCCGGCGGTGCTGAGCCGAGCCTGGCCCCGGCCGCAGCTGCTGGCGCTGGTGGGGATCCGGAGGGGGCTGGAGCGCATCTTCCCCCCGCACGACCTGGAGTGGCTGGACGGGCCCCCGCCCGGGCCGGGGGCGGCGGGGACGGAGCGCCGGGAGCGGCCGGAGCGGGGCGGCGGCGCCCAGGAGGTGGGTGGTGCCCCGTGAGCTCCGATGGGCCGGGCGGGTGGCGGGGCTGGCGCGGGGGGCGCTCGGGGGCGGGCGCGGTGCGACCCCGAACGATGTGCTGTCTCCCCGCAGCTCGAGCCAATGAACCGCCCGGGGCCGCAGATCAACCTCTCCGTGAACTAGAGCGGGGCGGGGCCAGGGCCGTGCGGGGACATCGCCCCGGGCCGGGGGTCGCGGGCTCGGAACCCCCCAAAACCCCCCGGACCCCCCGCACCGCGGGACACGTGGCCGAGCGTTGACGCCACTGGGGGCGTGGCCTCGGGGCGCGGAGTGACAGAGCGCTCAGCCAATGGCACCCCGCACCCGGCAGGGTGGAGGGGGCGGGACATTTACTTTGATTGGCAGTCTCACGGCCCAATCAGCGCCCGGGACGGTGCTTCGCCCTGACAGAGCCCTCAGAAGGGTTTGAAGGGGAGGCGGGACCAGGGCGCCGCAGCACCCAATCGGAAGGCGCCAGACGCCGCGCGCCCTGAGCGACGCCCCTCAACACCAACCGAAACGCGCGGCTCCCGGAGGCGCTTTGATCGACAGCGTGCTCGCCCTATCAGCGCTCGCAGCCCCTGCGAAGCCCCTGATTGACGTCCCGGCGGACCAATTGTCTCGCGGAGAGTTCAGGAAGCGGGGCGGGGCGGAGCGCTCTGACCGCCTGGGCGTGCGCTCTCAGGGCAGCATGCTGGGAGCGCGTGACGCGACGCTGACTGACGTGCCCCTCAGCCAATAGCGCGGCGCCGCCGTCCCGGCGCGCCCAATGGGGTGGCGTGGAGCGGGCGGGGTGGGCGGGCGCGGCGGCCGCGGCCGGGGTAGGGTGTGAGAAGTTAGTGGCGCTGCCGCGGTGCCGTGAGGGGGGAGCGGGAGACGGCCGGGCCCGGACCAGCGCGATGCTCACGGACGGCACCGCCGCCGCCGCCGACGAGGAGATCGACTCGGTCGCGCCCCGCGCGCCGCCCGCCGCCGCCGCCGCTGAGCCGCCCGCCGCGGCCGGGCCCTCCCCGCTGGGCCTGCGGGCCGTGCGCCTCTTCGGCGAGGCCGGGCCCGGCGGGCCGGGGGGCCCCGGCGCGCCCGCGGCCGGAGAGGCCGCCCTCGACTTCAAGCTGGCGGCCGCCGTGCTGCGGAGCGGCGGCGGGGGCGGCGGGGGCGGCTCCGGCAGCGACGAGGACGAGGTGTCCGAGGTGAGCGCTCCCGGCCCGCCCTCACTCCCTCCCCTCCGCTCCGCTCCGCCGCTCCCTGACAGGCCGGGCCGGGCTCCCCGGGCCCGCCCGCCGGTGCCGGCGCTGCCGCGGCCATGGGCGGGTCCCGCGGCGGGCGCGGGGAGGGGGCGGGGGGCGCGGGGGTCGCGGCCCCCCCGGGGAAGGAAGGCCCGGCCCCGCTGCCCCCGGGATGTGCCAGGAGCGGCTCCCGGCTGGAGGCGGGTTGGGAAGGGGGCACGGCGAGAGATCCTGCACCCGGAGCAGAACAAAGTGGAGCCGCCCCACCGCCTGCCCCCTGTTGCTGCCCCGGGCTGGGGGTGCCTGGGCGCTGATAAAATTCCTCGCTGCATTATATATATATAAATCTATCTATCTATCTATCTATCTGTGCACACACACGCGTTTTTGTGCAACAGCAGTATCTCTTGCCCAACAAAATGGAAGAGAGGGTAATGGAGGTGCCTGCCTTTGATCTTGCAAACCTGCGCGGAGTTTCAAGGGGAGGCTGTGGGGGAGGGAAGGACCGGGGCCTTATCCCGACCCACACGGAGCATTGTTGGACCTGTAAAATCGAATCTAATATCGCTTTGTGTAGACCAGGGAGAGAAGGTAAAGGAAGGCTTTTATCTGTCACTGCTGCCAGCTCCTCCTTCACCAAAAGGTGAACGCTTGTTGTCTGTTTTACAAGAAGAGTTGAGGTCACAGAAGCGTCCCAGCCCTTTCTGTAGTTTTAGTGGAAAGCAGGAGAAAGTGGCTGACACTCCCAGGCTTGTTGCAGTGCCTGTGTTTTGGGCTTCTGCGGGAGGAGGGAATTGGCCAAGTTTACACCATTTTTGATTTGGGGGTGCAGGTACTTCACACATTCCTTCTGAAGAGGTGAGCCTGCACTCACCTTCTTGGGGCTACATTTTTTGCCTTCTATTGATGATCCTCTTTTGTCCGACCTTCCCTGAAACCTGAACTGATAGGTCTTGTCAGAATTTAAAAAAAAAAAAAAAAAAGTGATTAAACTGTCACAGACCCACATTTGCATTTTGCTCCTGACCACCTAACCTACATTAGAAATGGTGTTAACAGCAGGGCATTTAACTCAACTAGAAATCCAGTGATCAGGCAGATGAGCCCTGGCATGTGAATGTTCCTTGTGTAAGGGGTGTCCTGAACATGCATGTTCAGTCCCATGTGGGATTAGGTGTTCCAGCACATACCTGTTTTGGGGAGCTGGAAGACCTACTGTAGATAGAAAGGGACTCAAATAACTGATGAGTTTCTGCTCTCTGGGAGGTCTTTTATGTCACATTTTAATGCATCTTTGAAGATACAAATCAGTAGCTACAGAATCTGGAAAAGGATGGGAAATGTGCTGTATCAGGGTGTTTGTGACTCTTTACAAGGTGAGCAGAGTCCTGCTTTGAGAGCTTATCCCTTCTGAACCCACCCCATTATTTAAAGGATGTGAAGATTGGACAGCTGAGATGTTTACTAAGCATTCTTTTGACTAATAGCAAGTATTAAGAAAGACAGCCTATTATAAATAATGTGTCTGGGAGGTTGGCATTGAGGTGAAAAAAAAAAAAAAAAAAAAAGATGTTCCCAAACAGCTGTTAAAGTTAAACGACTCCTTTGAAAAACCTAAGAAAACCTTCCTTACTTAAAATATAGACTAGGAAAAGTGAAGTTGGAATTAAAACACTTGGAGGTTTCCAGAACACATGGAGAGGAGGTGGGCTAATCTCAGAGCTGTAAGTGCCTGAAGAGTTTTTCTGCCTTGTGTTTCTGGTTGTGGGGAGTCACCTGGGAAAGAAGCAGGAGTGGGAAGAATGTGCCTCACATCTGTGCTGGGCTGCAGGGAATGCCTGGGAGCACCAAGGGGGCATTATTTTTTTTTCCCCAATTTTTTTTCTTGAGAACTAAAGAAGCACCTGTTGTCAGTGGTGGTTTTTTGGTTTTGTTGGTGGTTGGTTTTTTTGGTTTTTTTTTTTTTTTTTAATTCTTTTTTGGGGCAAAGCAAAGGCAGTTCAGGTCCAGGGATGGAACATTGCAATTCTTGAACGGTGCTGCTTTGAGAACCCAGTCAGTGACTGTTTGGACTGTGGTCTTGTGCCATGAGTCACTGATTTGGGTGTATGCCTTCAGCTATTACCAGTGGGTGGAATTAGTGAGAACTAGAAAGGAGAATTATAAAAAAATCAAGAAAAAAAAAAAAAGAAAAAAAAAAGTGAGTATTTGCCATGCTGCCTTGATCTGTACTCTTCTCTGTACTTTTGAAGTCATAAAAATAATGGTACAATATTCTGTAGGCTCTGCTGCATGCCTGTGGGGTGGTATTTAGGTTTTGTATCCTTGTATTAGTCTGAGTTTAATATGCTAAAATAATTGAATTAGTCAAAATGGCAAATTGGGGAAGAAAAGAAAATCATCAGGGAAGCGCAGGACAAAGAGTGTAACGAAACATTTATCTAGAGAGTGAAAAGAGCAGTGTATTTTAGCCTAACCTTTTGGAAAATATATTGCATTTGTGAGATCAGATCTCCAGGTGCTTTGCAGTGGAGAGTGCTGTCCCCATTTTCCAGGTGAAGGGGGTGTGCCACATTTATCCTGCCTCCTAGAACTGGGAGAAAATCCAAGCTTTTTGGTCTAGCTCAGTTTTTTCCTATGGCAGTGACCAGGTTGGGAAACCAGGGGCTGAAGTGGATCCTGCACATATTAGTTGTATCAGGTCCAGGGGGTGAAATTTAAATGCAGCTGTGCAGAATATTTTCTCGAATTGCCAGTTAAAATTATCCCATGCAAATAGAAACAATTGCAAGCTGAAGCACGCCTTTGGTCATGGAGGGAAGAGGCCAGGAGGGCTGTGCTATTCCTGGGTAAAACAGGGAGCTGTGGAACTCCTGGGCACTCAGAGGAGCTTCCACCGCCAGAGAGATGAGGTGGTTTTGACCTCAGTGCAAATAATTGCTTTAGTTGCCTTCTGAGCAGGATCGGGGTTTGAACACAGCCTTGAAGGCAGCTCGTTCAGAGCGAGATTTTTGGTGTGACTTGAAGTGTTATTATTGCCACCCCTCGTGAATTTTGCTGGCACTTCCTGTGGTGCCAAAGGCACGAGCTTAAAGAGCCTCCTCCGCCCTGGCTGTGAGGGCTGTAGGTCAAGGTGAGGGTGTGCTGGGAGGTCAGTGATGAACAGGGTGTGTCCATGGGGTCTTTGTTGGCCACAGAACGTGCAGGTCTTCACCAAAAGCCTGATGGTAACAAAGTTGAAGCAGGTGATAAATGTGGCCTTGTTAAGGCTCGGGGTTGGTGGTTTGCTGAGCTGTTGTAAATCAAGCAGGAGAGGCCAGCTGTGCCCACAGATCCGGGGGATCTGGGAGCCTGGTTCAGTAAGTGGCTTTTGGCAGGGAGTGTGTAAATGTAGCAAATCTCTCGTATTCTGTAATTCAGGGGCTGGGAGGCCTTCAATGACAACTGGAGCTCACCCAGCCCTTGGCTATGGAGCGAGCTCAGCTCTGCTTCCCTCTCCAGAGCTGCCTCCACCAACTCGCCTTACTTAAGCCTGTACCTATTGCATAAGCCTCTGGGGATATTTACATAAAGCATAATTAAAGATCAGACATAACATCCCTCCTACAAGGAGTGGAGTGAATAGTCCAATGACACACTCTCCAGAGCGCTTCAGTACCCGCAGATTCTGTCCGGGGTCCCCCTCCCCAAACTGAGATCTCTTAATTCTTAAACTGGCTTTTATATTCAGTGTAAACACATAATTGTTTCAAATTGGCAGTGTTGTCAATTAAAGTCATTGCTGTGTTATTAAACCTTCTTAAAGTGGGTCTGCTTTGTAAATGGTGTGCACGGTTTGACTTGAGAGGTTAATGAAATGCTCGTATTTTAGTTTTCTGTATCATATTAGAAACAATAGCAGCATTTTCTTTACCATAAGGAATAGAAATTCAAAAAGTAGATGCTGATTCAGGTAGATAATGTTAAAGCCTTTTCTCTGAAGAATGTAGGTTTTAGTTCAGTAGTTGATGTTTTTCTAGTTTTCACGAGGTCATTGAAAGTTGATGAGGTAAGATGTGGAACAAGACAGAAAATTTTCTTGCAGGAATTATTCACTGATTAGAAACAAATTAAGAGATAACAAGTTCAGGTTTCCAAAAGTATTGAGATGACACTTCAGTATGCAGGAGGTTGGTTAGTAGGTTATTCATTTATTCCCAGCCTGATTAGACATCTAACTTCTGGAAAATCTTGGTAGGTATCTCAGTAACTTTGCAATTCTAGCCCGTGGTAGCCAGAAACAATCAGCCTGGTGATGGTTAGTAATTGCTGTTCAATACACTTGCAAATGAACTGATTTCTGAGGTTTCTTGCAGAACTCAGGATCTTCCTTCAGTGCAGCCTGACCCAGTTGAGTACATGACCTAAAATAAATGTCAGCAACTGTTTTCTAATGATAGGTGTAGAAAGTAAAGATGTGAAATACTACTGTATAATTATATAAATATGCAGTGCAACCCCTGGGTAAGGAGAGATT